GTTCCGAGGGGCTCAACCTGATTCAAGCAATCAATTGAGTCCTAGTGCATAATTTACAGTCAGCTGCTTTTAAAATGAATCCTTATAAGGTTTCCTTTCAAGAGGTCTTTCATGCTTTTTATTTATTTATTTATTTTGTTTTTTATTTATTTGTCAAAAGATGCGGAATGGCCTCTTGTTTCCTGACCTTCAGGGATGTTGGTGGTAATGACTAGTATGGTTACTAATAATCACTCAGCAGTTGGTGCTGTGATTGTGTTAGGGATGTAGGTGCAGTATCTCTTTTAATCCTAACAGTGTGCTGAGAGGCAAATGTCAGATCCTATTTTTAAACGGAGGGAAATGGGCTCAAATGTGACTTACCCAGGGTAAACGGAATATATATAATTTGAAACCAAGTCAGCCCAGCCCCCAGTGCCATGCTCTTTGTCCTGTGATTAGAAACATAGAAACCCTTTTTTCTCTTTCCTTATCCCTCCTCCCTCATCTATTAACTTTGCTTTTCTTTCTAGCCTGCTCCAGCCCTTCAATCTTCCCTACTTGTCTCTTCTACAAGTTCCATTTGCCTTCCCCATAAATGGCACCCAGTAAGTTGTTCTTCATAAAATAGTTGTTACCCACTTAGTGGACAGTTTAAGCTCATGTTTTTACAATGATGATTGTAAAAACATGAGCTTAAACTTATTTAACCCTTCAGAATTCCCTGTAAGGAACAGTGTTGTTGCCATTTTGCATATAAGAAAATTAGACATGGAAAATGAACAAATAAGCAGATATGTGGGGTCATCTCTCTTTTGGAGAAAGAATAGTCAACACCATTGAACAGGTCACGCCAAATTGACTTTTGAAAACTCAAGAAGGCAAATAACTGGTCTGTCTCAGAGTGAGTGACAAGTCCTTCTGGTGGTCAGAGCTCTCTCTTTTTGTCCTCTTCACACTCTGTGGACTCAGAGCCTCAGGCTGCTCCTCTGTCTGTCTCTGCCTAGAAAACTCTTCACCCAGGAACTGGGCAGGTCCTCTCCCTACCTCCTTCAGGTCTTTGCTCAAATGTCTCCTTATGAGACCTTCCTTGGCTACTATAGTGAAACTCAATCCCCACATCCTCCAGGATTCCCTTTTCCCCATTCCCATTTTAATTTTCTCTATAGAACTTACCACTTGTTAAATTAATACCATTATGTTTATTTTTCAGACTTCCTCCACTGGAATATATGCCACACTAGGACAGGATTTTGCCCATTATGTTTACTAGTGCATAGTCAGGACTCAATAAGTAGTCATGGAATGGATTAATAAATAAATAAAGACCTTTATTCATTCATTTATTCAATATACATTGAGTATACATTGAATGAGCAGCCCTCATACTATGTATGAACACTTGGAGGAGGAAGGGTAATAAATGCCCAATGCAAATATGAAAATAAATATCGTAGTCAGGAGGGCAATATAGAATAGTATAAATTAGATGTCCTAATTTCTATGCCACTGAAGAAGTCCAGATTGAGACAAGGAGAGATCTGTAAGCCAGCATCAGCCAGGAAAACATAGGTAAGGAATTCCAGAGACAAAATCCTTCAGGGCAGCAGCCTATGACATGAGTTAGGACTAAGAAATACACACTAGTTCTTGATTCTTATGCAACTTTTTTGTATGTTTTGGAGTAAATTCTATTAATATTTCAATTTGGTAATATAATAGTTTTGGTTATATAATAGTTATATAACTACCTAGATCATTTAAACTGCCCGGTGTTTTATGCCTAATGCTGGCAGCTCAGTTCAGGAGGTCAGTTAGGTAAACAAAAGGAATAACACTGCTCATCATTAGTGCTTAACTGTGTGGCAGCTGACATGGGGTGCTTTCAATTCATTTATTTGTTTGAAATTTAAACAAAATCCTGATTAGGAAATGTTTATTAAAATCTTAGGGAAACACCTAAATAAAGGAAAGGATTATCACCATCAGCATCAGTTGGAAATGAAGTCATTTTTCAATGACTTGAAAACATCATACTGAGTCTCCATAAGTCATACACTTTGCCTTCAAAATTACTGTCAGTACAATGCACATTAATGCCACCAAGATTAAAGCAGGAGCTAATCCTGAAAAGAAGTGGCACTGACTTTGTGTGCTGGAGTTCCTATAAGGGGGACTGGGTGTGGCAAAACCGTAAGCTGAAGGTCAACAATGCTCAAGATTCAGCTGTACACTTTACTTTGTTCCATGCATAGGCATTGAGAACATATTTTTACCCACTGATCTGTTTCATATTAATTTTATTGAGACTTAGAAAAATAACCAATCCTTCAACAAAGTTGTAAAGTATCTACCCTTATAAATATTTTCTCATGAGAACATTCATTTTAATTTTAACTTTACAAAAAATACCACAACTTTTCAGATAAATTAGCAAACAGTTCAGGCTGAATGTCTAGGAGGAACCTTTATATTGCAGTTGCAAATATATCCATCATCCAGATCAGAGGTCCACAAACTGTAGCTCCATCTCACAAATTTGACTGCCATCTACTTTTATAAAGGTTTTACAGAAACACTGCCATAGCTATTCATTGGTGTGTTGTCTATTGTCTAAGCTGCTTTCACTGCAATAACAGGGTTGAATGGTCAAGACAGGGCAGTGTAGCCTACAAAACTTAAGATACTTGCTATCTAGCTCTTTGAAAAAAAAAAAAGTTTGCCAGCTCCTGAGCTAGTAGAAGGAATTCCTGTTACAATGTCTGTAATTTTGTATACTCTTTAGCTGGTCCATTCCTCCAGGATAGCCTGAGCGATAGCATCCATAATACATCACTCAAAAATGTCAATGTGGTTTTGTGATTATACATCATTCTGATTGTTACCATTTCCCCCGTTATGCTAACTTCTGCTAAATGAAGATGTTACTCTGTAAAATGGAATTATGAAACAATTTAGACAGCAAGTGTGACAGCCTATGGCAAGACGATGAAATACAGTGAAAGTAAAGCGGCTAATAAAATGAGGGTGGGGTTAAACTGACTGCATCTCCTTAAGTCCATATATTCCACAGCTGTGGTGCTAAGAGACAGATTGCCTGCATTGCCACAGGGAGGCCAAGCCAAGCACAAATGAGAGCATGAGGAAATTTTTCTAGTGAAAAATATTTTTTCCTTACAAATTTGAAATATTTTCCTTTTTATGTTATATTCTCCTTCCCCCTTCTCCTTTTTCCTTTCAAAATAGCATGGCTTCATTCTCTGCCAAAAGTATTTTCTCCTTTTTGGTTTCCACCCAAATGAAAAAGAAATTCCTTCACCTGGTTCACATGGACTGTTTCACCAGCTCAGCGTGCATGGTGAATGAAAGAAGTAGTAATGTTTGAGTTCTTTCCAGTGGATGAAATGGAAAAATTGCCAAACTGAAATTAATTTTTAAACATTTTTTCCCATAATTAAAGGCAGAAGAAGCATCAATAAACCTAGAAATTTTACAGCAATAGAGAGGTTGTCAGCCTGTGGACCTTTGTATACTTCATGAGATCCATGCTTGGCCATTTGGTAGTTCTGTAAGCTGGGACAGGTCACTCTACTTTTTTGGGAGGTAAGGGAGGTTGTTAGCAGGAATCTCTGACTGGAGTAGTAATTGTAGTTGGCAGGGCTCTTCTGAGGACTGAAAGGGAATGAACTGAATTGTAAATCCCCTCTAAGTGGAAGATGTTGCTGTTGTCATCAAGACCTCCTGAGAATCTGCACCAGAGCCCTGAGACGGCGACAGAAATGAAAAGTAAATTCAAGAATTTCTGTTACTCTTTAAAAGCCCCCCTAGGCACAAGTCTTGCAGGGTAAAGAGTTAAAATTAAATGAGGCTTCTGGTGTTTTGCGGGCTTCAGTATCAAATCAGCCCAAGAGCTATAATCATTTTGTCCCTCTCTCTTAGCAGTGGTGACACTCAGGTTGGCATGAGATAAAATCTTGCTGTGCACACTGAACTCAATTGCCGATTTGTCAGGGTTACTCCAAAGTTCAAGTGCCTTGGGCCACTTTCATTAAAAAAAAAAAAATTCTTGGTATATTCAAAAGTGAAGATATGAAAATAGGGTTACAAATGTCATGTTACATTTTTAATGTTTATATTTAAGAAATTAGTACTTTTAGCACATGGATTCAAATAAGTATGAAGTATAAACATGACATACACAAGCAATATGGATAGGGTACACTGTGGGCAGTGGGACCCAAGCTAAAACTTGTGTGAGGATGACTCCTTCCGGTCCTATGAGTGAATGTTGCTACACATATAATCTCATTCAGGAATGATGCCAAAAATCTGTATCTGCAACCCTGTCTGAAAACTCCTGCCTTTCCTCTTTCAGTTCCTCATTCCATCCTCACTGTGACAGACTCTTAGTCTGCAGTTATGACTCTGGGGAAGCTGGGAGGAACAAGACAAAGAATGGTAGAGAGGTACATTGTATAATACTTTCTCAGATATTTTTCAAAAGCTTACTATATGTATAGATAAGAAAATCACTGCTTATAAGATTTTAAAGGACTTATACAGTACATATAAAGTTATCAGAACAGTGCCTCCTTGCACAGTGAACAAACAATATGAAAGTTCTTGCCCTCAAGAAACTTAAACTCCAGCTCCCTCCCATTTTGCTATCCATCCCCTGTGCCCTGCAAACTCATCTACCTGAAACAATTGCCTGGCAATATCTAAAGATATTGGGTAAAACATGGGGGAATGCTACTCCACTGGAAGAAAAAGATGATCTCTACTAAGGAAACACTCTTAGGAATTCATTAATCAACTATTCAACAAGCAACAGTATGTGTTAGACTCTAAGAGCCGCTTATATTGTAATGAACAAGCTAATGTGGTTCCATACTCACGGATAGGAAAGATATTACATATATAAATTATTTTGCATAATGTGAAATTTTCTGCCGAAGTATGAAATGCATGCATAAAGGGCATAAATAATTAAGTGTTCATCTCCACTCATTTTCCCACAGTGAACACACATATGATTAGTACCCGGATCAGTAATCAGAACCTCACTAGCACCCCAGATGCCTCCTTGTTTCTCCTTCTTCTCCTGGTAACCCCTGTGGGTAAGTGCTATTCTGATTTCACAGATTACTTTTGTCTGTTTTTAAACTTTATAAGAAGGAGATCATGACATGTTCTTTTTTGACTGACTCTTTTTACTCCACATTATTGTGAAATTCATTCTTCTTTTGTGTATAGCTGTGGTTTGTTTATGCTCATTCCTTTATATTATCCTATTGTAGGAATATACCATAATTTTTTTAATCCATTTCACTGTTAATGGATAGTTGGATTTTTTCCAGCTTGGGAATATAATAAGTAATGCTCTAGTTAGCATTCATGTAAATGCCATTTGTTAGATAGATTCATACATTTCTGTTGAGTGTATACTTAGGAGTGGAATTGCTTTCAATTATGGGTATACCCAATTTTATTGGGCATGAAATAGTCAAACAGTATCCCAAAGCAGTTGTAATAATTTTCACTCTGGTCAACAAAGTATGAGAATTCTGGTTGCCCTACATTGTCTGTTTCTCTATTTCAGCCATTTTGGATGGTATGTTGTATTTTTTGCATTAGGATTTTAACGTGCATTTCCCCACTGGCTAATGAAGACAGGTGCCTAAACATATAATTATATATAAACATATAATTATTTTCTGTTTGGGGATATTCTCTTGTGGAGTATCTATTATGATACTCGCCCTTTTTTTCTATTGAGTTCTCTTCCTTTTTCTTATTGATTCAAAGGAGTGTTTCCTATGCTCCTTGTAAGAGCCCTGTGTCAGAATATATATTGAAACTCCCTTCTTTCAGTCTATGCTTTACCTTTTTATTCTCTTAATGGGTTTTGAAGAACTGAAGTTCTTAACTTTGATTTCATTCCACTGATCGATACCTCTCCCCTTGATGGTTATTGCTCTTTGTGTCTTAGGAAGTCATTTCTGGAGGAGGATCTTGTGGAAGTGGCCAGCTCAAGGCTGAGGGATCATTATACATCATGTTACCTACAGCAGCAGACAGCTCAGTTTGTATGCTAAAGTGACCCAAGAAACAGCAAGGCAAGAGGTCTGCTTGTGCCTTCTCTATGAAGATATATGGAAATAGCAATACAAAAAAAAAATCCAGAAGCCCCTGAAAAAGGCATTTTCCAATATTGCTATGAAAGGTGGAGTATAATGTTTAAGAAAGAAAAATACAAATTTGATGAAATGGAAAGCAGTCTATGAACAGAGTATGAAGGGCTGTAGGCCAGCTAAGGGAAGCAAGGAGCATGATCATAATACCCCAGATATCCTTATACCTCATCTGCCTTCTTTCCTCTTCTACTTTGACCTCTGCCCATGATCAAATCCACAAATCAAGATATTTCCACCTAAGATGTAGCCAAAAGACTATACTTTCAGGGATCATTTCTATAGTATGTTACTAAGATGTAGCCAAAAAACTGGTGGCAGTGTGATCAACTCCTAGAGTGCTCCCATAAAGATGTCTCACCTGTGAATACAGCCTTGTGATTGTGTCATATCTGATGGCAAAGTTGGCCTGAAGATAGAAGAAGCTAACCTGGGTGGGTTTGAATTAATCACAGGAGACCTTTCAGAGGGCTCTTCCAGCTGGAGACCGAAGTCAGAGAGATATGAAGAGTGAAGGGGATTTGACTTGAAGATGCAGGAGGCCACACAAGAAAGAATTCAAACAACCTTAAAGAGAAAAGCATCCTGGCCAACAACCATCAAGGAAGCAAGGCTGTTAATCCTATGACCACAAGAGACTGGATTCTGCCCATGACCTCAGTGAGCCTGGAAGTGATGTCCATTCAGAGTCTGCAGATGAAGGCTCAGCTTGGCTCACAGCTTGAGTCTCTCTTTGTGATCCCTGGAACAGAGAAGGGAGTGACACTGAGCAGGACTTCCAGCCTACAGGACTGTGAATTAATAAACAGATGTTGTTAGAAGCTTCTAAGTGTATGGTAATTTGTTGCACAGTGAGAGACACATAAAATGAGAAGTAATTTGAGTGATAGTGAAGAGTCGATCTTATGAGCCAGCAAATGTGAAGAATGTCTGAAAAGGATGTTGCCAACTGTGGTCTAAAGAAAAGTGAAGAGATAAAGGGATCATCTAACATTTTCTGAGGGGAAGAGGGGGAGAAGTGGAAGAGTAAGAAGATGAATGTAAGAAAGAAATCAGGAGCAGGGAAATAGGAGTAGAATGAATGAAACCACGTGTCTGTCTACATGTGAATATATGTAGGACAAGTATAGGAAGAGTTGGCTGCCCTTACCTAGTTGAGTTCTATAATTAGGAGATGATCACATTGTAATCTTTGAAGTGCTCGGAAACTGCAAGTGGTTTCCATGTTGCTTTCAAGAGTGTCACAAGCAAACAGAAAAATCTTCTCAGAATCGTCTATGTTTCTAAATTGTCCATTTTCATTTTTAAAGTGAAAAGACACTCTTGTTGTCCTCACTTCGTGAACATAGAAATCCATGTGAGAGGACGAGTAACATGTTTCTAGAATTTTAAGCAATTTATTTGACAAGTAATGTTATTGATTAGAAATCCTGAATTCTCGATTGTACAGGTTTATAGTTTATTAAAAATAAAAAGACAGATTGTGCTCGGTGGTGTGATACAGTGGGAAGTAGCGCATTTTTGAATCGCAATTGTGTAAAGTTATGAGGAAAAAGAAAGCTATTTCAAGAAGGAATATTAGGGATCTCCAGTGCCTTGTCTTCTGTGGAAATGTTTATATTTGTCATTGGTGCACCTGAGCCTTGAGTACAAAGGCAGGATGTAGCAAGAGAAGCCAGCCACTCAGCGTCTGACCCTGCTTTCCCCACCAGTCCTTCCTGTGTAACAAGTAACTTCTCTAGGTCTCACTTTCCCTGACTCTGGCATTTATTCTTCAGCTCAAAAGAATGATCTTCTCAAGTGCTTTAAAACTTTGGAACAAAAGACAGCCTCTGGCTGACTTGGCTCATGTAAAAAGAGGTCGTATATAAATTCCCTTAATACCTTTAAAATAGTGTGTGTTTCTTTGAAAACCCAAGACAGTATTCCCATAGGGCCACTTAGTCCCTAAAGCTACCAAGTCATAATCTCTAAAGAAAGGATATGACATTTGTCACTCTGTTTTCACACAATTTTTTCCACGATTGCTTCCCGCAGCTTACATATGAACGCAGATTTATATAAGCAGTCATTTGCATAAAAATGAAATCAAAAGTCCTAGGTTAATACTATCGTAGGATTAACTTGATAATACTTAGTGTCCTAAGAAGGAGTAGAGTTCAATGTTACTTTTTTTCTGTCTCCTGCTTGAATTTGCAACTGATAATGCCATGTGATCAAAGAAGGAATTTTCATCCAGATGAAGTGGTATAAGCCTGTAATCCCAGTGACTCTGGAGACTGAGGCAGGAGGATCACAAGTTCAAAGCCAGCCTCAGCAATCGCAAGGTGCTAAGCAAATCAGTGAGACCCTGTCTCTAAATAAAATACAAATAGGGCTGGGGATATGGCTCAGTGATCAAGTTCTCCTGGGTTCAATCTCCGGTACCCGCCCCTCACCAAAAAAGGAGTTTTCAAAAACAGCTCAGAGATGGATGAACATGGAGGCAGACTGGCCATCTTTATCCTTAAAGAGAGGGCTGAATTGTGTCTCCTGCCAGCTGTCTTCCAGCTGATGAAATTGTGTAATTGTGTGGAACAGCAGGGACTTTAGAAAATCTGAGTGATCACCCCTTTGGGAGAATAAAATGCATAAATAATTAACTGAAATTCCCTTTTAAAGTAGGGTCAAAAGAAAATGAATGCTGTCTGGATGGGAGTCAACATCCAGAGATAACCTCCACTAATAGAGGATATGATGGCTCAGAAGATAAACAAGAGAGAGTGTAGGAGAACTACAAGAAAAACAAATGAAACGAAATAGGGAGGGTTACCAGACAGGATGAGTTGGGAGGAAACAACTACTTGGGGACCAGCCAGGGAAAATTTGGCAAGGAGGGGAAGAACATAGACACACACACACACACACACACACACACACACACACACACACACACACTCAAACCCATAACCTTGTGTGAGGGCCAGGTTTGGGTGTGGGGGGATTAGCACTCATGAGAAAAGTACAAAAGCATCTTATGCAAGGGATGGAACTTTGACTTCCACATTTAAGGCAAGGGAACACCATGTGAGGGGTCTGGTCAAAGAAAGGAGTAGAAACCACCATGCAGAACAAAATGGCCCCAAACAGAAGTGCCAGTGCTCCTCCTGCAGGAGGTCTGTCAACGGAGTCCCCACTTTCTCTCCATCCTTTGAGTTCTCATCCTTATCCTTTCATATCCTTTTTTTTCAGATTTTTGTCCTGATTTTCCATTTTTTCCTGGTACTTTGTCATTTTTTTTTCACTTTTGATATTTCTTACTCTATCCAATTGCCCTGAGGAGTAGACATTAGAAATAGAATAAAATAAAAAACAAAGGTGAAGATATTACATATTATAAACAGCTTATTATTTGCTATGTAATACATAAACGTTCTGTATTCTACATTTTACACGTTCATGTGTAATATTAGCTTAGCAGATGGAGATGACGTATGCCATTCTTGAGGGTCTCTTATGTTTATCATGAGATATGAATGGACTCTGTATTTGAATTTTATCTGGGCACTTGTGTCTCACAGTTATTTTATTTTTATTTTTTTGGCACTCGTTCTCACTAACTTGCCCAGGCTGGCCTAGAACTCCTGGGCTCAAGTGATTTTCCCTGTCAGCTTCCTGCAGAGCTGGAACTACAGGTGTACACCTCAAACCAGCTACCATGTGTGTGTGTGAGAGAGAGAGAGTGTGTGTGTGTGTGTGTGTGTGTGTGTGTGTGTGTGTGAGGCCTCATGCATGCTAGACAAACCCTAAACTATAAACCCAGCACCAATTCCAACCATTTTTAAGACCAACTTAATAAGAACCTCAGCAACATAGCAAGACCCTATCACAAAATAAAAAATGAAAAGGGCTGGAGAAGTAACTCAGTGGTAAAGTGCCCCTGGATTCAATCTCCAGTACTTTTTTTTTTTTTTTAACTTGAGAGAGGGTCTTGCTAAATGGCCCAGGCTGGACTTCACCTTGCCATCCTTCTGCCTCAGCTTCCTGAGTAGCTGGGATTATAGGCATGTGCCACCACACCCAGCTCTGGCTACTATACTTTTAAAGGTATCTAACTCTTGCTGGATTTCAGAATATCCATTCCCAAATCTGTATAATTATTATTATTTTGTTATTATTTTGAAAAATTAATTTCTTATAGTATAGCATGATGAAACTGTCAAGAAGGTTGTAATCATAAATATAATGATACTTGGTACTTTTAAAGTGACTTGCATTACTAGAGCCTGGATTTCTCAAAGATTCTTGCAAGCTAGGCAAACACTATGAACTAATGATTTATAGCCCCCCAAAATAAATAAATAAAATATAGAGAATTTAGGAACTTGGGCCAGTGCCTTACAGCAAGTCAGAAATAAAGCTGGAATTTAAGGGAAATATGTTGTACTTGACATTGGATTTCCTGTGCTGGGAAACATTATGAAATAAAGGGGAAAATTATTAATTAGAGTTAGGAGGTATTTAAATCAAGTTTATATATTTACCCAATTAAAAGCTAATATTTCATAAGTAATGCCATTTTGAATAGTACTATTAAAAAGAAATGTGGTTTTTGTTTTAATAATTTGCTTTTTGATCTTTCATAATTAAAATTTGTCCATAAAATTATAAATTTTCATTGTTTTAAGTGTAAGAGTGGAGAAAATGAAATGAGCTTAAGGATGACTATTAAACTTGTTTTGTTCAAGTGCAGATTTATTCTGGCAAATTCCATACTAGCTGTCATCTATCTTTTTGGAAAGAAGACAGATTCGTTAAGATGACATGTACAATTTTCAAGAGGGTTTTATGTTGCTATTAAAGATAGAGCTGTGTGTTTTATATTTCAAAAGGTGGTTGTGCAACAATCAAGTGTAAGAAATTCAGATTCCTGGGTCTTCTAAGAAGGCAAGCTTGAGAGGAGATTCCTAGGTTGATGGAATTTTATTGACCAGTCTAGAAACTGATGGAGAAATGAGATATCAAGCTGTTATGAAGGATGAGGAGGCAAAGGAGAGAGTGAGTAGGGATTAGGGATCTGGAACTTAGTCTGGTATTTGCTCTAAAGTTATGTCAGAGCCAGAGGCATAAAAACAACCAATTAAAATAGACTTTTGATATCCCACCTGTCACTTTCCGCCTACACTCATGAATTCTAGACTGCATATGTAAAGTTCTGTGTCTCTTTGCAACCCACAAGTCTTAACAGCAGGGTGTACTGATGTTGGTTTGAATTTTTCATCCTGTACTGTCTGAGTGGCTGTCAGTGAGGCACCTCACCTCTGTGGGCCCAAGTTTGCCTTCTGTACAAGGGGGATCACCTTAACGCCCCATATAATTGTCACTTCAATTAAGTGAGATACTGGATCTGGCATAGGTGCTTTGTAAACTATAAAGTACAGTGGAAATGTAGTTCCTCTTCAGTAAACAGATGATTCTCAGTGTCCTTCCATCACAGGTACCCTGATGCCTCCTCGCCTGGCCTCCCTTTTGCTTCTAGCAGCAAACTCCAGAGAGAGCTCTTCTTGAAGCTACAAAACACATCTGTCACCAGGGCCAGCTTAATGGGAAGCTGTCATAGACTCTTTACTCAGTGACTGTAGGCTGAATTTAATGTCTGCTCTCATCTTCATATTCTTAGGAATTTTTGAACAAGGAGCCTGCATTTTTATTTTGCACTGGGCTATACAAATTGGATAACTAATGTTGCCCATTATTTCTTTCTAATTTATAACAAAATATCTAACTTTAAATTCCTTGGAATTTGCTTTATTTTCATCATCACTTTGATTATCTTTATATAGTCAATAATCTAAATTAAAATTTCTGATTAAAATTGTATATGTAGCCTGGGTACGGCTCATCCCTGTAATCCCAGTGGCTCATGAGGTTAAGACAGGAGGATTGTGTGTTCAAAGCCAGTCTCACCAATGGTGTGGTGCTAAACAGCTCAGTGGAACCCTGTCTTTAAATAAAATACAAAATAGGGTTGGGAATGTGGCTCAGTGGCCAAGTGCTCCTGAATTCAATCCCTGGTACCAAAAAAAAAAAAAAAAAGAATTATGTGTGTTTATAGAGAGACTACATTCTTAAAGTAGAAAATAAAATGCTACTTCAATGGTTAGAATTTGCTTTTCTTCTAGACCATCAATATTCTGAATTTATGGGGGAAATATGTTTTATATTCCTAACACGTTACTGGCACGAGGCAGATTGTCAAGAGAGAATAGTGGAATGAGTGAACTATATCACATACAGTGTATCATCTATTGTGAGAGAAATTCTCTGGATGATAAAAACATCTTTATAGGGTGATTTATGGTTTTATTTCATTCAGTGTGCTTTATAGTACCTAAGAGTATTTGACTTTCAAAAAAGTTGCAGCTCTTCAAATTCTTTTGGTGTATCCCATTAAAACAGATCCTCTGGAGAAAAAAATCAAATATATTTTATATTGGGTTCCTAATTATAATACTGTAGG